GGTGATCTTGAGGTGGTACTTGGTTTTCGCCCCGTCCAACTCGACCCCATTCGCTTCAAAGTGTTGTCGCCACTTGGCGCGGATCGGTGCAAGCGGACTTTCGTCGGCATTCGTGGCATCCTCGGGGTCTTGCCATTCGATGCCCATCAAAAGCGCCTTGTTGAGGCAAATGAGTACGTCGTCGCAGCCGCTAAACATCTGCCGCATCGACTGCATGTCCTTGTCGCTGATGCGCGGCTCCGTGTCGCACGCAAAGAGGTGGATACCGATGCTACTGATGCCGTAGAGCTCCTTGACAAAGCGCCGCCGGTGGTCGCTGTCCGAGTCGTTTCCAGGCAAGTCTAGAATGTACACACGCAAACTAGGATCGGCGTTCTCAGCACCAGCACCGTGAGGCACATAGGGCCGGAACTCGGGGAACTCGGTGCTGTCGCGCGGCGGGGCGGGCTGGTTATTGAGGGCGCGCAGAAACCACGACTTGCCAACGTTTTGGTTGCCATTGATGACGATGAAGACGAGGCATTGACAGACTGCGCGGAGATCTCGGATGGTTCGAAGCACGGCAATGAAGCTGTCGACGAGGCGCTGGTTGGCAGGGTCGGTGGCCTTCAGGTTGGTCGTCTTGGTGAGCTTTATTTCGATGGCTTGAGCACTTACGTCGTCGTCGCCAATCGACACGTTTGTGGCCAACGCGATGGCTCTCAGATGGTGCACGTACGCGCTTCCGGTTTCTTTATACGCCTCGGACCGCACTCGGATCGCTGCGTCGGGTGCGGCGACATCGACTTCGTGGCGCGCGTAGGTCAGCGCGAGGTACGGGCTTCGCGCTGGCGCAGGCGGCATTGAGCGACGCAAAGTAGCCGAGGGCATAGCATACAGCTCGGCAGACCCCGCAGGGATCTTTTTACCAAAGAGCAATAGGAAAGATGGAGCCAACGCTGCCGCCGCCGCTGCCGCTGCCGCACCAAAGACGGCAAACGTCATCAGAGTGATCATTGGGAAAAGAGCCATCCCTAAGAGTGCTCCCACTTTTTTGTTTGCCCAAAGACTCGGAGGCTCGACCAAGTGGCTTGCAGAGAGGACGGACGCGGTGAAGATCGAGAGGCTGTTCATGTCGGCTGTAATGTTGTCGTCGTTGAGCTTGTTCCACGTGCCCGCCTCATCCGTCCCGCGGTCTTTGATCGCGGCCAGGCGCGCTGCAAAGCCCGTCCAGCCTTGCATGTCTTCGACGACTTTAACTGCGACGTCAATCGTCGCGTCGTTGGCCTTGGCCAGCGTGTACACAACGGTAAGGTAGGCTTCCAGCGCCCGCACAAATCGATGCAGATTGTCCGAAATCTCTCTCTTGCCGAGGGTCTTGGTCACCACAGCGGCAGACATGGCCTTGTTGAGAAGTACCGCCAAGGAGGCGCTCGACATTTCACTCACCACGAGCGTTGTCGCCGCTGTCATGTACACCTTGTCTTGGAGATCCTCGTCACTCGCTGACGGCGCCGTCACGCTCTGGACGACAAAGGCCACGTATGTGTCTTCGATGCCATGGTCGCGCACAATTTGGGTGCCGTCGCGAGCAGCGAGGAACGATTCCGAGTGGAAGAGTGCCGCGGGGTCCGTGTCGAGCGTCCAAGTCGACCCACTGCAGACGGACAGGTTGATCCATGCGCCGTAGTACTGATACTCGCTCAGCGACTCAATGCGGTCGTTGATGGCCTGCTGCGACATTTTGTACACGTCGACACCGAGCAAGTTGAAGAGCGCGGTCTTGACGCGATGCTCAGTAAGCAAGGCGTCCCGCACGAGAAGAAGGACGGGACCGACAAAGAGAGCTGGGACCACGTCCGAGTTTGTAAAAAAAGTGAAAAAGCGATTGGCTTCGTCCCCATTCGGTTTATCGCTCTTGAGGAACGGCGTCGACCCAAACGCGACCGAGAGCAATTTGGTCGTGTCGAAGACGTAGCGTGCGTCCGAAATGAGCTCGTAGTGGGCCGTGTGGGCGACACTGCCGCCGCGGCTGTGGCCGCATAAAATCACTTTTCGGAGCTCGTCGAAGTCGAGCAAAGCTCGCGCAAGGCGAACGATCCCGAGGGCGCGGCCGCCTTTGAGGTACCCGGCGGGTGCGTGGGCGTTCGGGGCAATGCGCTGCGCACAGACCGCCGAATTGGCCAGCATGTCCTCGGACGAGTTGGTGCCTGTGATCGAAACGTAGGCCACGGACGCGATCGTGACCACAATAACGCGGATCTTCTCGTCGTCGTAGGCGACGAACGGCCGGTCGCTGGCACCAAGCTGTAGCGTTGTCTTAAGCTTGCTGAGCACGTTGAGCTTGTACTCGGCAAACGAGTCGCCCTGTGTCTTGGCCGTGTACCCAAGCGCTGACAGCTTGAGAGCGGTGTTGAATTCAAACGTCGAAAGCTGCATCGCGTTGGGCGATGCAAGTATCGTCACGATATCTACTCGGACGACGACTCGATTTCGGTATTTCCAGTGAAACCTCCGGCGCAAGCCGTTGACACCACCCAGCATCCAACCATGCCAAGACCATTCATTAGCCAAACGACAGAATCATCGCCATCACAGCGGCACTGAGGCGGATAGGTACAGTACTACTCAGCATCTCCATGAGAACCGCTAACTATTGTAGTGTTGCAAATTTGCCTCGCAAAATGCACGGCCAATGCGTTCGTTACGACGCGTGGGTCGAGTCTGCAACGAAATTCGAAACAGTGCAGCGAAAACTATCCTCTCAATGCGCCACGTACTCGTCACGTGATTGGCCACCGCCTCAAACACCGAAGAATACACGAGAGAACAGTTCATTAGTCGAGATGTTGTTGACACAAATATCAGCACATGGTTTAGCCAAAGCGGACGGCCGGCACGCACTGCGAGTACCACTCGTCCTGCTTCAAGCAGTCGAGACCGTCCTGGCACGACGTCGCGCCCGTGTAGCCCTTGCCGCCGCACTGTTCCCACTGCTTCTTGGCGTTGCCCGACGGCGCGCTCGTGGGCTTGGTCGACGGCTTGGTCGTCGGCTTGGTGGACGGCGTCGGCTTGTCGCTGCTGGGCGACGGCTTGTTGCTGCTCGGCGCCGGTGTCGGGTTCTGGCTGCTGGGCGACGGCTTCGGGTCCGAGCCGCACGAGTCGCTAATGTAAATGTCGGCGCAGTTCCAGAACTGCTCCTGGCCGTCAATGCCGACGCCCGGGTTGTTGCCGCCGGCGTACCACCAGCGCAGCACGCAGTGCGAGTCGCCGTCGCACTTGAGGTCCTTGGGCAAGTTGTACTGCATCTTGAAAAAGTCGTTGCCCGCGGGAAGTGGCCACTGCTTCTCGCCGTTGGGCTGCGTCAGCGTCTGGAAGCACTCCTCGGTCTCCTTGTCGCCCTTGCCGTTGAGCTTGCAAATGCCAAACTCAAAGAAACCCTTGTGGTTGGCCGTGATCTGGATGTTGAGGTCCAGTGTCTGGCCCGGCTTGTAGCACGCGCCGATGGCCTTGGCGCCGAGCTTGGGGAAGAGACCGTACATGCCGCCCGTCTCGTGGTCGCGCGCGCCGTTGTACGGGTCGCCGCAGACGCCGTGCTTGCCGCCCTTGGTGCCGCCAATGCCGCCCGCGTTGAGACCGTTGTCGCTGTAGTTGATCGGGATGTCCTTGAACGCCGGGAGGCGACCGATGTAGCCGCGGTGGGGCGGCATCACCATGCGCCCGTGGGCCTCGGTTTGCGAGATGGTGGCGGCGAGCACGGCAGCGGTGGCGATGAGCTTCATATGTGTGGTTGTTGTGGCAAAAGACAGAATGCGTCGAGTTGAAAAGAGCATTGGTGTCGTCTGGATCTTGGACAAGGCAGAGAATCGGTCGCTGGCATTCGAACCACATCTGGCATGCCAGTGGCATTTCACATGTTGCAGACGTCCCACGTCATGTTCCTCTTGTTGATAGCTGTCTCTCGTGGTAGACACCACTGTGCCTTGGCACCTGGTCGTCTTCTGTCCGCACCTTTGGTATTCGATGTGGCGGTATTAGCATATTATGAGGAACACAGACGTTTTATCGAGAACCAGAGGCAATCAACTCGCAATCACTCAGCGCACGAGCGTGGTCATGTCGATGCCGGCGGAACATCCAAGCGGCGCCGTAGAAAGGCCGCCGTCGCAACAGTCTGGTGAACGAGATCTTTCTCTCTCGAGAAGACCAAGACCAAGAGCAACCTGAGCAACCTCAGACCGCGTGTGACAGGGGACGTCCGGTCGATGCTGCATGCACGACCTGCCGCTCGTACAGTGAGCGCTGCGTCTGTGGATAGGCTATCGCTGCGGCACTGCGATGGGTCATCACTCACTGTCCTGCCCATGCATTGTTGTCGACAACTTCTCTCCAAGGAATCATAGTACTTGACAAATGGTCGACTTGTACTCATATGTGTACCCAGGATACACGATCGAGAACGGTCGCGAACACGGCGCCGGCAATCATAGTGAGAGCCTTCGTGGAAGGATGGAGAAGAAGGCAGACACGGATGAACCAATACCAAGTGCATCCACGCACCAGGTTCGATGCGACGCCCGACTGCATAGATGCGCGCGTCCTCCGGCGCTGCACGTTCGAATGGGCGGGCGCGTGCGACGTTTTGGATCGGCAGCCTCACATTACTCACAGCTCGTTGCACTCGACCTCGTGCCAGAATGAGTCTTGCAGCTCTTTCTGGCAGACATTACAGCACCGATCTCAAAGTGCAATGTGGCGCGGCGCCAGATCCAGTCAGACACGGCGCCAGATGTGTTCGATGCAAACAGTGGTACGAACGGGTACACTCATACCGGTACATATGTAGTCCAGACACTGGACGATAGATCTGCACATTGATCCAGCCTCCGGCTCCGGCTCAGAAATGCGCTCCGCGTGCCATCGTCTTTCATTTTCCAATTTCCACCACGATGCTCAAGTCGACGGCCCTCCTCGCAGCGTTCCTCGCCTGCACCACGACACACGTCGAGGCCCACGGCCGCATGCTCCACCCGCCGCACCGCGGGCACATGTTCCGCCTTCCGCAGTTTAGCTTCTTCCCCGAAGACTATGACGACGATGGGCTCAGCGGTGGCGGCATCGGCGGCACCAAGGGCGGCAAGCACGGCATCTGCGGCGACCCGTACAACGGCGCGCGTCATCACGAGACGGGCGGCAAGTACGGTCTCTTCCCCAAGTACGGCGCCAAGGCCGTCGGCGCGTGCTACAAGCCGGGTGCGACCATGGACATTGACATTCAGATCACGGCCAACCACAAGGGGTACTTTACCTTTGGTCTCTGCAAGCTCAACGGCAAGGACGACAAGGAGACCGAAGAGTGCTTCCAAGATCTCAAGCAGCCCAACGGCGAGACGCAGTGGAAGCTACCGGGCGGCAACAAAAAGTTCTCCATGCAGTACAACCTGCCGTCGAACGTCAAGTGCGACGGCGACTCGCACTGCGTGCTGCGCTGGTGGTACGTCGGCTGGAACAACCCGGACGACGACATCAACGGCCAAGAGCAGTTTTGGAACTGCGCCGACATTTACATTAGCGACTCGTGCGGTTCGGAGCCCAAGCCAACGCAAAAGCCCGTGCCCACCGACGTGCCGTCGCCAGACGACTCGAACCCGACGACCATGCCGACGCACAAGCCGACCCACAAGCCTACTGACAAGCCGACGCACAAGCCCAATGACAAGCCGACGCAGAAGCCCACTGACAAGCCGACGCAGAAGCCTACTGACAAGCCGACGCACAAGCCCAATGACAAGCCGACGCAAAAGCCGATCGACGTCAAGGACGCCAAGAAGGCGTGGGAGCAGTGCGGTGGCAAGGACTACACGGGCAACGTGGCCTGTGCGACGGGCCTCGAGTGCATCAAGCAGGACGAGTGGTACTCGCAGTGCGTGCCCGCCAAGCGCTTTGGCTAATTCCATCGGTGACTGCGCACTGACTGAATGTAAATAAAAGACTGTCTTTTGTAAGGTTGCTTTGGAGGTGATAGTGCTAGTATCTCGGCCGATCGCGGTGTCAAATGGTACTACTCTCATGGACAGCGCCGCAGAAGCTGTCTTGAATCACTCGTTGCAGATAACGAACAGTCATGGTGCAGTTGCTGCGACAGTACTGTACGTTGTAGCATGATGTTGTCGACATGCGAGTTGTTTTGCTCGCATAACATTGTCACTAAAGTTGTCTTTGTATCGGATTGGCGCGCGAGCCCTGCCCATGTTTGGGGATGGCTACCGTTTAACGTAGAAATATGTTTGCGCTACGGATCGACATCTGCTGGGCTATGCTGACACAAGTTCATTGACCTCATCTCGTTGACCGGATTTTATTGGTGCGGGTTTGTTGGTATATTCCAGCGCTTCATCGAGCCCCACACATTTTCTTTTCTCTCGTCTCGAGCTTTTGACGCCCGTTCAAGACATGCACACCACCCCGTACGACTTCGAGAACGGCAAGTATGCTGCCAGTCAGCCAGGTCAAGGCAAGACCAACGTCGACCAAAACGGTATCCTCCTTGGCCAGTGGAAGGCGGGGATCTTTGCGTGTTTTGACGCATACGTCCCCAACTGCTTGATGGCGTGGCTGTTGATCCCCGCGTGTGGTGGATGTGCAATATTTCATCGAAGGAGTCGTTGCTCGCCTGGGTCTAAAAACAGCTGCACTGTAGCTGTTTTTAGACCGAGGCTGGTACAGAACCCGGCAATCTCGTTGAACAAAAGGGGTCCATCCTTTTTTGCATTTTCACATGACCACCCCATGGACCCCAGAATTCACACCTCATCCCCTGGACCCACCCGCGACCCATAAAAATCACTTGTATCTCTTGAATCGTTTGTAAGTTGAGGAGAACTACTAGGGGCAACTAGCGTGTCGGTGTCCGCCATGCCTGTGCGAGGCGGGTTCGCATTTGACTGACACTACACATTTGGGTCGCGTGCTCGGCACCTGGATCTTGTGTCTCGAGCCCTTCTAGATTTGATCTTTTGGATCGCTCGGCCTTGTGCAGAAAACCTCGTCCACTTCTTGGAAATGGCCCTTCGAGACCTATTAACGACCTCTTTGCCGGAGAACACCCCACCCACGACCGATTGGGTGGGTCGTGAGTGTGGGCCCATGCCGGTTGCTGCTTCGTACGCGTTTTTCACGAGAAACTCCCACTTGCATCTCTTGGTTTAATTATAGCGTTGCCGATCGCTGCGTTCGAGGGATCCACTTTTGCATTCATCTCGAGCTCTCATCACCTCTACGCTTGCCTTCCAAACCATGAGCACTATCCCCCCTCACGATCTAGAGACCGGCCAAGCCGTCATCCCGACGGCCCATGCCGTCAGCCCGACGTGCCAAGTCGCCAGCCCGACGTACCAAGGCAGCCCGATGGGCCAAGTCGCCAACCCGATGAGCCAGCGCCAGATCCTCGTCGACCAGAACGGTATCCTCCTTGGCCAGTGGAAAGTGGGACTCTTTTCGTGCCTTGACTCTTGCATCCCCAACTGCTTGATGGCGTGTTTGTGCCCGTGTATCTCGTATGCGCAGACGCGCCACCGCTTGAACGGGTCCTTCTGGAGCTCGTGCTGCCTCTTCACGCTGTGTTTTGGGCTTCCCATCTTTTGCATCCGCGGCGAAGTCCGCGAGCGCTTCCGAATCCCCGGTAACGCGTGCGAGGACGTTTGCTGCGCGCTCTGTTGCCCGATTTGCGTCCTCACCCAGGTCGCGACCCACACAGAGTCGTACACGCCCGGCTCGTGCGACTGCGGCCCAAAAGACGTCTTGCTCGGCTATACTGTTTGATCCTAGCGACATGCTAGCTTAGTATAATCTGACTGACATGAAAAACTACTAGCATGCAGCAAACATCACTGGGATGCACGGCGAGCGGTGTGCCGAACATGAGTGCACACATAGGTACGTAGAGACGACGTCATTCTAGGTGTCGCTATGGAGCGTGATGCCTAAGGCGACAACTTGGTACCGTACTGTTGCTTGGTAAAGAGTACTAGTAGGGTGGACGAGCTCAAACGAATATTAAATTCTAGCGGATTTTCGATGAAATTCTAGCGGATCTAAATCTGAGTGAAATTCTAGCGGATTTTCGATAATTCGTACCTTCGAGTAAGAATTACGGAAGTGTAGTGAGAATGGGGAATCGCGTCCAAAGCAATTAAAATCTAGCGGATTTCGGGTGCAATATGGTGAAATGTGGATGGTGTCCGCGCTTGGTCTGGAGCTGTTGGGAGAGGAAATAAGAGAGGAAATCTCAGTAACCGAGCTACGCAACTCCACGCCTCGAACGCACGAAGGTGTACGTCCGCAGCTCCGACTCTTGCTCCTCAAGCGACTCCGAAGGCAGTTTCATCAACCATTCCGCCAGGGTGAACCGCTCGGGGGTGCGCCCATTGCCTACGACGTGCGTTGTGGGAGCTCGAGCGACACCGAGTCCGAGGGCGGCGCGCGCCGTAACCAAGCCATGCCGAGCGACGGGGAAGTCGACGGTGGACAGCTCGGAGACTGAAAGCGTTTGTGAGACGGACGTGAGTCGACGCCGACGTCGATGCCGCGACGACGCCGTGACGCTCAAAATCACCGATCGCGGTGACGCCAGACGTTGACACCAAAGTGTCCAGTGGTACTACGACGGACGACGGCTGTCGACGTCGATGTCTGAAGGTGGCCGTGTCCAACGTCGACGCGCCTGCCTCGCTTACAACGACCACAAACCGCGACTGCTCGTGACGTCGAGGCTCCTGCCCAGTCGCCGCGTTGTCGAAGTCGATGCCCGGTGATGGTCGTGTCCAACGCGGATGCGACGACGCAAACGCTCCCAAGTCGGTCGACGATGTGCTTGCACGCGCTTGCAACAACACCGCTCGCGACAGCTCTTTTGAAGTTGACGCGCCCGCGCAACCCACGGGTGCAGCCAGCACCGGACGCCCAGACAACGCCGCACACGATGTTTGTGCTTCTACTACTGATCTTTAAGCGACTGCTGCAACCCGTGGAACACTTCCACGACGGTGAACACCGGTCTCGACTGCTTCTACGACGGCGACACCGGCCTCGACTGCTTCCACGACGGTGACACCGGCCTCGACTGCTCCCACGATGGTTACTGCATGGCAAGCAACGACGCTGTTTCCAACGAGCTACATCACGCCGACGATGTCTCTACACGACGGCATACAAGAGGTCGAAGCCGACTGCTACGACATCGATGCGACGCCGTTGCGACGCCAACTGCTGCGGCGCCGATGCGACGCCAACTGCTTGTACGCCGACTGCCGCGGCATCGATGAAACGCCGATGCGACGTCGGCAGCCACGGCTCGGGCACCGCGGTCACGACGTCGACACCGACAGTCAGGACACCGTCACTCATGACGCACACCACAACGTCGCCAAGGACGACAAATATTACGATGGAGTCGTCGATGCTGCCGCCCTGCGAGCGACCGTGACGGTCGAAGTCACGAAGGCTATCAACGACACGCCGTGGTACCGTGACGCGTGTCATGAGAACGACGTCACCGCAAGGACCCGTCAAACCGACAATGACGAGTCAACCTAGTCCTTACGGAACGGTTGCTTCTGATACTCAGCCCCTGGGCCTATGTCTACGGAACGATGACTATGAGGTAGCGCAATGCGCCTCAGTGCATCAGCGAGGCTTCCAACTCCCAACGGGATTGGACGCTATCGATTACACATCTACATATTCACTCGATGCCTCTGGGCTTGCGCCTATGCGACTCTACTTTCATTAACGAAGCCTCCAAACCCATTTGGGACGGTCGCAATCACTTCCTTGACTGTATATCTACTTGACGCCTCTGGGCTTGGACCCACGTGCTCTATGAACTCACAGTCAATACATTACAGTACCTTCCATGAACATGCATGTGTCTCGTACCGTCGAGCATCCCATGATGAGGAGGGGAAGAACCAGCAAGCGCACTTGGTGCAGCTAAAGCTGAAGAACCAACAAGCGCCTATGATGCAGCGCAAGCTGATGGCCCCAACACACGATAATCGACACCATATCCATGACATGCTGGACATGCTATCACATCATTGGTGTCTGCTATATAACATAAATAATTGACCTTCTTGACGCCTACTCACGACGCTCATGCCGCCGAGCTGTAAACGAGCCCTTCTGATCCCAGTCCGGAAGACGCCGGGAAGGCCCGCCAAGGAAGACCTCTTCAAGTCGACACGTGGAAAAGTCTTTAGCAAGGCGGCAACCATGTCGCGCCTCATGAAAAGGCCAATGCTATGCCACGGGTGGGCTGTTGGCCGAGTCGTCACCGCCAGCGAGCTGGACCCCGAAACCGGGCGTCGCAGGCAGACTGTCGTCACTGTGACCGATTGCCATGTCGGTACCATTACCAAGTGGGAGGTCACGTTCGTCGGTGGCCGCAAGGAAGTACTCGGCGTCGAGGACTTGGCGTCTCTCGTCGAAGCTTCAGACAAGCTCGGCATCAAGGTGACATCAATGGAGTTCATCCAGCATGTGCGCCGTTTGATATTTGCAGTGTGACCACCGCATCCCGCAATCGGCACTGAGCACTTAATATATGGATGCATTTTATCCATATCTTGTTAGTATTACACTGCATTCGTCAATTCTTACTCGAAGGTACGAATTATCGAAATCCGCTAGAATTTCACTCAGATTTAGATCCGCTAGAATTTCATCGAAAATCCGCTAGAATTTAATTGTCACCCATACTTCTGGCCTAATCCCGATAGATTGCCATTGTACGGATAATCGGGCGATATCCGGTAGTTTCATGTGGTGACTCAGACGCAATCCTGGACGCAATCAGTGTTTGCGGGAGCTTTTGACCAATGCGGCGACTTCAGTAGGTAGCATCGCATGTGCACGTGTCTTGGCTTTTATGGCTCATTTAGAGGAGTACATGTCCTGGCTAAACGAACGCCAATCACTACGCTGAAGTCTTGGTCGTCAAGGTACCCGTAAACTTGTTGCCGTAGACGATCGTGGCCGTCGGCTGAATGCCCAGTGGGTTGGGCGTCGAGTGCTCTGCAAACCAGTGCGAGACGTTGGTCGTAACGAAGCGGAAGTACTGCCGAAACTGCGTTTCTGCCACCGGAAGGGACTCGTGCGGCGTCCGATCTGTGATCCAGTACAGCTCATTGGCTTGCGGCTCGTAGTAGCCATCGCGCTCACGGTCCAAGACACCGTGGAGGACATCCACGTCACCATGGGCACCGACGATATCGTTTTTATCTGCGACGACCGTGTTCCAGACCTAGTCAGAGAGATAGTAAAGTTTGATTGTATCAGTGGTGTACGCACCCCACACGACTTGGCGACCGTGGAAGCCATGTAGATACCACCTTGGAGCTCGTGACGGATCATCCAGCCGCGGCCCCAGCGAATCTCTACCCACTTGTGGCGTGCTTCACCAGCACCCAGATAACACTGAAGCTTGGCAGCGGATGGCGCTTCGACGTGGAGCCCGGGACGCCGTTGAGAGGTGTCGGCCTCGACAATGCCTTCGTGGATCGTAAGGTACCCCACCTTGCCGTTCTCGTCATGGTGACGGCAGCTGTTGAGAAGCGGGACATAGCGCTGACACTCGGGTGGTAGCGTCGTTTCGGCATGACCGATGATGAAGGGCATCATGTTGACGAGGAATGGTTTCGGTTGCTCGACGCCGTCAACGAGATGTGTGAGCGGCGCTGGAAAGGTAACGAGTTGAGGAACGTTTGGGATCGGCGTCTCGCGCGGCGTGTTAAAGGGCATAATGACGTGGGTAAGCGGAACGTAGCCGCGCTGGTCCGCCTTAAGTTGCGCCCGCCAGATCGCATGGAGATGATCGACGATGGCCTTGAGAATATCGGTCTGGCCTCGTAGCCCGTGAAGCGAGCTTCCGTCGTCCAGCGTCCCGAGCAGAAGAAGACGTACGACCGAGTTGTGCCACAGCGACGTCGGCGCCATCTCGACAATCCAGAAATGATTTCGTTGACGCAGATCGCATCGCTGAGCATCGTGATTAGTGAAAAATGAGCCAATCGGACGCTCGTTGAGTGGATTTACTTCTGGCTTTTCTGCTTGCTTTGCACCAACTTCCCGGCAAAGTTTGCGCAAAGCGAGATAGACGTGCGGTAGGATCAAGGTGTTCCTTTGAGCTGAAAGAACATCCGAGGAGCCGCGTCGCGCTGGTTTTCGAGAGCGTCTTCTCGACGTGCTTGTGCACATGGGGGCCGTTCCCGTCGGCTTCCCACGCGTAAATCTTGACGCTGCTCTGCCACATGGGGCAGTTGGTGCGGTCACTGGCGGGAATGAGCAGTGGCTTGCGCTAAAAGAGACTCGGGTGCGGCACGGGGATGTATGTGAAGATGACGACGAGCACGTCGTGCTGCGTGCCGTTGCGGATCTTGATACCCATGGTCTACGGCGTCGTCGAAAAAAGTAAATTGAAAGACTGACGACGTGGTGGTGGCGGCGTGCGTCCAGACAATTGAATAACGTTAGCGTAAATCTCGTTGTAGAGAGAGCATCAGTGTTCGAATGCCTTGTGCTACGACTGTAATAACTTGATCCAGCAGCGACGAGAGTAGACTACTTGTTAAAGTGTGCTAGAAGGCTTCTTGTCCAAGCATCCAGCCAGCCGAGGGAATTGATTTTCGTGCGTGCCGAATTAACATGTAAAAACGTATTTTAGGCACATATATGCGACGTTCCAAAATGCGCGCTTTGGATTGGTGGCATTGATGGCTTTCACGACACGCTACCTGGCGAACGCATTGTGACACGACAAATTGCTGCTGCAGCTACAGTCGACGGCGCAACTGTGAAGAATTAACTCATTAGTAGGTAAAGTCTTACCTGTGAAATTTTACATTTCACAAAATAGACGTGATGAAAACACAGAGTATGATACCACTGAGTTATACTTCTCTGTAAGGCAGATCGGGGTGATTTCCGTGGAGCCACTTTCTGAATTTTTCCTACTAATGAGTGCCCTTCTACCAAACCTTATATTTCTTGTTATTCCTTTCCTCGATCACTCGAAGCAAAAGAGACTTGCCCACGGAGGGCTTGGAGACACCAACTTTACTCCCAACAATCCCTCTGGAAGCGGCCCGATCAAAGTACGAGTTGTGCTGCATGCTACGGGCAGACGTAATGACTCCACATCGCTTGATCGGTCCCCAGCTGCCACAAGCTACATTTCGGGCCATTTGGATCGTTACCTTGCCGAGTCAACAAGATGGCCTCGACCAGGCCAAGATCAGGAGTCTTGCTGACCGATGGCGTTGGTATCGCAACTTGGCACTAGCATTGTGAGATTGCCTTCCTCCTCCCAGTTTCTAGGAAAGTTCAGCCGCAGCCACCATCACTCGCCAAAGTACGTTCGCTCTGTCGTCGGTCCAGGTCCTACTCAGTTGCTGTGCGCACATTTATTGGCGCCTGCCACTGAATTTACCGTACGCCGCTTAGATTTCCGCAATTCCAACTGCCACGACAATAAAACAGCATCCAGAGCATACATTCTTCGAGTTGTTTTTTATTTATCAACATCAATCTCCACATGGCGGTGCAATTTCAGCGCAGCAGTATGGCAAACTTGCATTTCGCCCATGGTGCTGCCGCTGCCACCCGACTTCTTCGAGTGCCCGCCGCTGGCGCCGCACGAGACATCGGCGCTGCTCACGCTCGCTCAGACCATCTGCCAGGAGACGGTGCAGAACGCGCTGGTCCTGGATGCGCAGCCGATCTGGGCCACGATCGCCAACCCGACGACGCGCCGCCGGGCCCGGGTACGTACACCGCCTCGCCGACCAAC